TCAACTGGCTCCTAATACCCTTAATAATGGAGGTTTCCAACTGGATGCAGTTGGACAAATTTTCTTTCTTGTCAAGTTTCTTGAACATGACCCAATCCAAGGTGGAGGAGGCCACGATAAGGAAGGGCCCGGTTGAGGAAAAAAATCAGTGTCAGGAGGTCCCCGCAGACCATAGCACACGATGGAAACAGGCGCCAGAAGTTGCAGCTGTTGTCGCTAACCAGCTATCAAATGCCTTTTAAGGATCTGGCCCAGGTGAAGCAGTATGCAATGAAGGCTATGCTCTGTAGTGTCTGGCTCCAGCCAACTACATTCATGTGGAAATGTCACTCAGGTACCATCTTAATGAAAGCTATATTAGCAGGAAGCTGGAAATACATGCTTATGTGTACTTCTCTCAAATTTAAATGTTAGCATCTATCTCGAATATGTAAACTCAGAGAAAGCCCAGTAAAATGTTTGTGGGTAAATCTATACTTGTGCCAGGAAACAGTCCTCAGAACAGAGCAGTGAAACATGACACAGTTCAAAATCAGAAAAGGAGTGTGTCAGGGATCCACACCTTTTCAATCTATATGCAGAACAGATCATTCAGGAAGTAGTGCTTTATGAGGAGGAGTGTGACATTGGGATTGGAGGTAGATTCATCGACAACCTATATTATGCAGATGATAACACAACCTTGCTTGCTGAAACTGAAGAATACCTGAAGCACTTGCTGCAGAAGGTCAAGGACTGTAATCTTCAGTATGGATTAAAGATTAACATCAAGAAGACAAAGATTCTCATCACTGGACCTATTGACAGCAGCATGATGGATGGAGAAGAGATTTAGGTTGTTAACAATTACAGCTGTTCAGCTCCACAATCGTCACTCTTAACACCAACAGTCAAGAAATCAAAAGATTAATTGAATTGGGGAAAATCTGCTGTCAGGAACCTATCCAGAGTACTGAAAAGTAACAAGTCAGTCTAGAGACTAAGATGAACCTAATCCAGGCCATGGTCTTTGCAATTACTTATTATGCTTCAGAGAGCTGAACAGTGACTAAGGATGACAGAAGAAGAAACAATGCCTTTGAATTGTGGTGCTGGAGAAGAGACTTCAACATACCATAGACTGCCAAGAAAACAAATAGGTCTGTCTTGGAGAGGGTGAAACCAAGTTTACTCTTGGAGGTTAGGATTTTGAATCTGAGTCTTATATACTTCTGGCATGTGGCCAAGAGAGACCTATTCTTGGAGAAGGACATCATGTTTGGAAGGGTAGAGGGATAGCGCAGGAAAGGAAGACCCCGGATGAGATCGATTGATACATTACCTGGGCCAATAGGGACTTGTGCATAGAATTAGTGAGACTGGCTCAGGACAGGGCAGGGTTCAGAGCTGCTGTACATAGGGATTTCTATGGGTGACAGGTGACTCAGTGGCACATAATGTCAACATATGGTCTGCAAACCACTTTTCTTGTTCCTGATGAAAATAAGTCTTAAACTTAAAATGTGATCCATATAATCAGAGCCCAAGGGTACTGGCTTGTCACTCAGATATGTAATACAGCCAGACAGTACTGCTTCACTGATCCCTTCAGTAAGAGTTCATTGAGCAACTACTGTGTGCTCAGTATTATGCCAGTTCCTGGGGACACAGAGAGGAATAAGACACAACCTCTGAATTGAAAAGGACATGATTTATTAAGGAGACACATCTGTGAACAAATACTTGAAGCAGAGTAGTAAATGGAGTGAGATTGTTTACCAGCAGAGGTTATCAGAGAAAGATTCCATCTGTTGGACTTCAGGCGACAGAGCCCTCAGCCTGCAGGTGCTCACAGGTGATCCCTGCTTTCTTGTTAACCAGGAGGTCATTAGGGGAAAGGGCACCAATAACTGCAACAGAGCACTCCATAAACAGTGTGTCCTTCAGATAGCATGACCTAAACACACCTGACCACATGCAAGCTAGCTTTTGTTACTTACAAGAATCAGACAGCATTCCATCAGAAAAGTTTGTCACAGGCAGATCTCCACTAAATAGCTGTGTGGGCAGAGAGGAAAACTCGTACTGGCACACCCCACATTGGGGCTTGAGTGAAGGACTTAAATGGGACCACGCAGCTCCCTCTCATCCCCAGGTGGGTCCACTTGGGATTGCAGTGCAGCTTCTTGCCACTAGGCCACCAGAGCTCAAGGTGCTTCCACCTGGGTGGACTGTAAGCTCATGCTCTGTGCATCCCACCTGTACCATACCTGAGGGACAATTCTGAAAACTTGCTCTCCCAGTTGTTGTATAAGTAGTTCTACATATGTGATTCATAGCCAGCTGCAATGAAAATTCAAGACTGATTAAGGGACTAATTGTAATGTTTAACCCTGGTAAAAACAAGCATCCTCCTGTACCCTGAACCCTTGACTTCCTGAAAAGTGGAAGATATTATTAGCCCAAAACTGTGTTTTATCAATCTTACTAACAGATCTGGGGTGGGGGAAGGAAAAGTAGTCTTTTCTGAGGTCTAAAGATGCCAGGAGGAGAGGAGTAGAGAAAATCATGGTGATGAATCTGCCCAACCAATTTGCTCCACACAGATCTTCTCTAGTATATCAAGAATCTCTTCCAAGAGGGAATCCAAGCTGTATTTTGAAGGATGAATACAGTTTGTTGGATAGCAAGGTTTAAAACATTCCTTGACTTAAATTCATTATCAAGCTAAACATTAGTATTCATATCTAGATAAATCACAAGTCTTAGCTTTAATCACAGCTATAAAACTATATGTAATATTACATAAGTCTGCCCTGCTTGGCCCTCCCAAGCCCTTCAAGTAATATCAGAGTAAGTCTTGGAGATTTTGTAGGGATGGGGTCGGGGAGTCAAAATGCATCCTCTGCAGAGCGTGTCCGCAGTAGTTAGAGGCCCATTTATGTTCTTCACCCACGGCCCAGTGCACTGTCCTGTTGGTTGAATTCTTGGAGCTCGGGTGGCATTATGTTTTTAGCTTCCATTCCAGAGCAATAGCCCACCTCTAGCAGCTGCTCCATCACAGACAGGCAGGCATTTATCCTCCCAGAAGGAGTTAAAGCTGCAGAAACCTAGAGGGGGTCACCAGGAATCCAAAGTGATCCCACAGCTTTGGGTTTAGATCTTCCTATTTTTCTTGTGACGTTCAGCAAGGAGCCCTGTGGTGCAGTGGGTTAAATACTGGGAACTAAAAATTAGTGGTTCAAACTCACCAGTTGCTTCTTGAGACAGAGGTGATGTATTCTGGTCTTGGAAATGTTTACAGCCTTGGAGACCCCACAGGACTGTACTGGGCTGTGGTGTAGTGTCTTCACAAGTAGGAATGTGCTCACATTCAGTGAAGTTTGCCTTGTTTGTTTTCCACAGTGATATCCTTCAGCAACAATCCGTTCTAGCTTTTTTTTATCTGAGGATTAATCTAGTTAAACTGAATTAAGAAATATGATGAGAAATGAAGAGACCCCTGTGTCAAAGTGTTTTTGAAAAGGTTTTAACATTATAAGAAGGATCAAATCCTAAACAAATTAATATCACATCACAGTGGACTACGTGATTAAAATAGGAATTTAAGAAAAGCACCTTGCAGAATGCGACATTCTGGCTGTTTGTTATTTTATTTTTTTAATATTTCAAGCATATAAGAAAACCTGATTATCCTGGGTTTGGTGAATTTCATGCAGTAAATGTTTATCAGGGTAACCTTAAGAGTTCTTTCCCTTAAAAAATTGTTAAGCATTAAAGTTTCTGGAATTTTGAACAGATGTGTGGGTTGCAAATGCAAAGGATAGAAAGTACTGAAAAAGAAAAGGCTACGTTGGCCTGGGATTTGATTATAAAGATTGGTGTTGCTGTTGTTCTTGTTGTGTGCCATCGAGTCAGAATTAATCCATAACTGACCCTCTGGTGGGTTTTCAGAGGCAGTTAATCTCTTGGAAGGATTGCCCATCCTTCTCCTGCAGAGCAGCTGGTGGCCTCGAACTGCATGCCTTTGGGATTACAGCACATCTTCTTGCCACTAGGCCATTTTTTGGCACTTGATAATGTGGAATGTCCATTGCTATCATTGGATGTCACACCAGGCAAGTCTTATTCCTCTTAGAAAGGTTAAGGAGCCCAGACTTTGCCATTCAAGACCAGTATTCCCGGGAGTGAGAGTGGTCTCAGCTTTGTTCCACCACCTCTTAGAGGAGGGTGCTTTGTCTAAAGGTTTCTATGGCACATCTGGGGCACTTCTGAGCAAGTTGGGCTGCTGTGGAGAACATCTCAGTTGAGTCCTGACCCCTGGCTTCAGTGTGGGGGTGAAGAGACAGATAGAAGTGGGATGGGGTGGGGAAGGACCTCTCAGCAGCACTCACCTTGAACAGATAGTCATAGTGAAGTCAGATCAGGCAGGCCTGCTTCTAGTGCCCCTGTGCTTGACCAGACCTCAGAGATAAGAAGGATTAGCAGTCATTAGTGCTGACCCACAGCAGGTGCTAGGAAATGTGCTGGGACTTGGTTCAAAGGTGCTCCCATGTCAAGCAAAGGGTTAAAGAAGAATCCTCCAGGACAAGACGCTCTTACATCCTAGCATGGCTGGTCCGTAACTTGCACTGATGGTGCCACCGCAGCCGACTTCAAGGGCACCACCATGTCCCTGTCCCAGCCCCCACCACGTGCACAAGCACACAGGCCTGGGTTACACACACTCTGAACACCTGAGAGAAATCCCGAGACAAACCAGGTACCTGTCATGAGGCTTAGAGGATGCCATTTTGAGACCTAGATAATAAGCCAAGTCTCTGATTTCAAAAGGTCATCTGCAAAAATGGAATGTTGGGAACTTGTTCTTTCTACCTTTAAAGCAGCTTACAGCCTTGTTTGGGTCATCCCTGTCAACCAATGTCAACATTGAATCTGAAAATTAACAGTTGTAATAATGCCTGGGATCTCTAGTGGTTCAGTCTGTAGGGAGTTCCTCTCTGGTGGTTCGAATCCACTAGCAGCTCCACCGAAGAAAGATGGGTGACTTCTTCTCATGTGACTTATAGCCTCTGAAAACCCACTGGAGGGTGAGCTATAGTTGGTCTGACTCAATAGCCATGAGATTTTGGTGTGTTTTGTTTAGTAAAAATAATGCCTGACTTTGCCACACAATCCTGAAGTCAAGCCATCCTACTTATAGGTAGCCAACACTTATCACCTAGCAGGGGCCAGTACTGGGTGTTTCTGGGATGCAGGATGTCTAACCCTGTTAGCACAGCTGACTTCTTGGTGGACCGAGACAGGTCGTGTGTCATGCCACACTGCCTTCTATCCCAACTCCAGCTCTACGCTGGAGGGTTGAGAGGTGACAATTTATCCTTAAAGTAGGCAAAGGCAGAGAATCAAAGTATGTGGATGTCAGTCTCTCTTGAAAAATAGTCAACGTTATCTGATCACTCTAGAATGTGTTTTATTGAGATCTCAAACTCAAGTGTCTGTCATGAGAGGTAGAAATCACATGAGAAGACACTGAATATCTTTCTTTGTGTAGCTGGTGATGGATTCAAACCACCCACCAGAGAACTACTACCTTTATATTAGCAGTGCCACGCCATACAGACTATGCCATCAGAACTTCCCAGGTGGTAGTTTAGAAAGTGACTAGGTAAGGGCCAGGAATGGCCACCAGACTATATTTCTACACATGGAATTGGTTCATTTTAGTGATGGGAGAGCGAGGGATGCTGACTGACAGAATTCTCACCTTCCATCCCAGAGACCAGAGTTTCATGCCTGGTTAATACACCTCATGTGTTGTTGTTGTCGTTGTTATGTGCCATTGAGTGTAGCCACCACTTATCACCTAGCAGGGCTTGTGTCTTATTTTGATGCTGAACAGGTTAAGCAAAGCAGACTAAGAGAGAACTGGCCGCCTGCTTCCCAAAATCAGTGCGTGGAGGGCTATTGATCATGATAGACCAGTTCCTTGTATACAAGGCCACAACGAGTCAGGCCTGACTCGGCTTGTCAGCAGCATAACAAAAACAACGGCTCACGTTAATAAAGCTTTGAGGTCACTTTCATACCTCATTAGCACTTCTACCACAAGTGTGCAATATTATTGCTTTTTCACAAAGAGGAAAATGAAGTCCCTTGAGTCTGTTTTTCTCTTGGTCACAGCTTCCTGCTGTAAATATCCACCACCTCCTATTATCACCTCTATCCCTTTGCCCAGATCTCCATAACGAAAGGGTATTTCACTAACTCTCAGTGTATCAGCCTACTAAAGGCATATAAGTGTCTGTTTGGACTTGGCAATGTCCTCCACTTTAGGCAGATCAACTTAATGCCATTTGATTGGTGTCTTGATAATCTTAGTTACAGCAACACTATTGCAGGCATGGAAGGTATTTCTCTGAATGAGTGCATGAATCTAATAACCTAGTAATGTGATCTAATCGTTCACACTACAAACCAGTTTATGCCCAGGAAGAATGCAGTTGAAGGACATTGCATCCACAATTCTTCTCTCTCATTGCCATTGAGTTAGGAGCAACTGAAAGCTGGCCCTCCAGCATTCAGAGGCTGAAGATCTCACGGATGGAGACCACCTTCCACTATGGAACTGCTGGTGGATACGAACCACAGAGGTGGTTACCTTTGGGTTAGCAGAGCAATGCCCTGAATAGCAGAGAGCTCATAATCCAGCCCCTCATTATTGAGGGAGACTGGCCCTGAGATAGACACAGGCCCACACAGTTTGGACAAGCATTGATGAACAGCCTGCCTCCAGCCTTGTGTACTTTCTCCCGGAGGTAATTCACCTGCAGTTCACCTGAGTGAAAGAAGAGGGAGAGATTGGCTTAATACCTGTACTCGTAGCGTAATTGGCAGCTTTGGGGAAAGGGTTAGATGCCGTAGGCTGATGGAACACCTAGGAGGCACCAGGTTTGTACAGAAGAGGTGAGGTGGGAGGAGCAGAAAATTTTATGACCTCCAGACAGCCATGGATCAAGTCCCCAGCCCACATTTTGGTACACTGACCTACAGGCAGGTTCAAAAAACTCCCTTGAAACTCAAAACTTTCATCTTAACAAAGAGAGTAATGGAAATGGGTCTGCAGTGTGCAGCACAGGGTTTGCCATGTGGTTAGTGCTGAGCAAAGACCGCCATTCTTTTCTTCTCCCTTTGGGGTTTGAAGATACTTCCAGGGCACAGAGGAAGAGGGAGGTGCAAGGAATGAAATTAAAACCAAAGGGAAGTGAGCTACTGCAGCTAAAATATGTTGTACGAAATCAGTTCCTCATCACTAGTGCTTTTATTTTGGTTGGATTTTCCTGGGGAATTTTAATTTCTGAGGATTCTCTAGAGATATTTATCCCTAAGTAGATCCTTATGGGGTTTTAGTTGAGTGAATGCCTAAGCAGGCAAATGTGAGTGGCATATTCTGGAAATGGATGAGTTGGAAAATCTGCATTAACCTGTTCAAAACTGAACTGATTTCGGTTTTTAGGAACTATTTTGTCTTGGGGGGGGGTGGTTTTTGTTGTTGTTGTTGTTGTTGTTTTCTGTAATGGGAGACATTTTACATGAAATGAGGAAAAAAGGTTTTAGGCAATATGGACTTGAATATAATAGTAGAACACAGGGAGGTTCTGGTTGTATTGAGGAGAATATTGTCTATCTTTCTCCCACAAAGCAAGCATAAATTTGAACTACCAGCCTTTAGATTGAAAGCACAGCTCCTTACCACCCCATCAGAGCTCCCTGTGGTGGTGGTGGTGGTGTTTGATGCCTTCCAGTTGAGCACAGCTAATCTGAATCTGGCCCTATCCTGTGCCATTCTCACATCTCTGATACGAGTGAGCCCAGTCACCATCTTATTCCTCCTTGATGGGGGCCCTTCTCTCTTTCACTAACTTTCCACACTTCCAAGCATAATATCCCTTTCCAAGGAATAGCCTCTCCTAGTAACATGTCTAGACTATGAGAGATGAAGCTTTGCCATTCTTGCCTCCAAGGAGAACTCTGGCTGCACCTTTTCCAAGATATCCTTGTTCATTGTTTTGGCACGCCATGGAATATTCAGTACTTTCCTCCAACACCACAACTCAAAGATATTAATTTTTTTCTCTCATTCTTATTCATTTTCTAGTTCTCAGTTGCTTAAAAACTAATTGAAAATACAATGGCCTGAATCAGACATACCTTATTCTTCAAACTGGCATCATGTCGTTAAATTGCAATTTACAGCCTCAGAAACCTGAGGGAGGGTCTCTGTGAGTGAGAAGTAGTTCTACAGAGGTGAAGTAGTGTAATACACATGTTTTGTGGGGTCTCAGGTGCCAGAGCTGGTTATATGAAGCCTGCATTTCTATTAACTACCACGAAAGGGCAGTATGCACTAAAAGTGGGATAGATTGTTCCCACTAAACCCCAAATCCACTGCTGTTCTGTGGATTCTAAGTCATAAACCACAGGGAAGGAAATGTATGTGGATACTGCATGGACCACAGGTAGTAAAAGTGTAAAACTATCGAATCAGGCCTCTAATTCAGAGTAGGAGGTAACCAGATGACAGAAACCTTTAAGAATGTGAAAATAATATATCCAAGAAACCACATAAACACAGAGAAAAAGGTTGCTTATAATTTGAAGAGATCCACAGAGGCCTTTCTATCAGCTTCCTGAATTAAGAAATTAATCCTAATTTAAGGTGTCACTCACATGTTGATCTACTTCATCACTTTTTTACCTTTTAGTCATATAATATCCTTTATTTTCTTCAGGCCTGTTTCACAATCACACTTGATTGTGCTCTCTTAGGATATCAGAGTGAAAAGCATGCTGAGAGGGGGAGAGCTGCTTTCTGCTTTCCCTTTTTACTTTACTGAAACTTCAATATTGAATGTTGTGTTGTTGTTGTGTACCATTGAGCCTGAACCAACACATAGATGAAACCTCCAGTGGGTTTTCAGAGGCAGTATAATCCCACAGGAGGAAATTGCCCACCTTTTTTCTATGGAAGAGCTGATGGATTCAAACTACATACCTTCGGGTTGGCATTGCAGCTCCTTAGCACTAAACCATCAGAGCTCTCTAAATAGAAGTATTGTGTACGTTGAGTTGGAACTGACCCATAGTTAACCTTCCAATGGGTTGTCAGAGCTAGTAAGACACATGGGAGGAGATTGCCCATCTTTCTCCCTTAAAACAGCTGATGGATTCAAACTTTATAACTTTTAGATGATCAGTACAATTCCTTAATATTGAATGGGAGTGAACAGAAAGTAGGAAGGGTGATTTTTCACGTTAAAGGAATCACATTGCTGTTGGGGTATGTTCATGGCAAGTTTTATCTTCTGAAGAAATCGAAACTTCAAACTATAATTTTGTGCATTCTCTTATATTAGATGCATTCAGCTGCTTTCCAGTAAAGCTTGCGCACATACTCATCGTTGGGTTGAGACTGTGCCTTGAATTAATATAGATCTCATCATGATATGAATGCAAAATCTCATTTCTATTAATGACACAGAATAATTTGCCATAAAAATTGACAAACACTGAAATGAAAGTGTCAGGCTGAATCTCATGGTTTAGATGCAAAATTGTCATCTCATTATTATGTTATATCCATTGAAAAAATGGAAAAAAAACGTACTATATAATCATCAAGACAGAAATATTAAGCTGGGGCTGCGTGCTCTTTGTACACTTGAGCAGATTACTATGAATGATCAATCACTAAGAGACTATTTTGGGAGCAAAATTTCACAGATAATCTGCTGAAATTCTGAACATCTACATAACATACTGTTCAATTGTAACCCTTCAAGAGCAATTTCCTAGTGTTTACTCCCATTAAGTTGGATCCCTGAAACAGTTCTGTGTTCTGCTGTGACCTCTTTCTGAGGAACACACCCCAAACCTTCCTTTGTTCTTGTCCCTGTCTGTCCTCCTCAATCCCCTACCACAGGCCACCAATATTCTGCTTTCTGTCACTATGGATTAGTTTTGCCATTTCAAGACTTTGATAT